AAAAAGATCGATATATTATATTGATTACTACACAACTGATCACAATTACTAGAATACGTTCTCCCACAACTAACCCCTCTCAAATATCACACACCTGTTTCTATTTGCGAAAACAAAAGCCAGTCAGAACGAGTGTAGGGTAGTTTAAAAGCACACACACCCATGCTTCCAGCAGGTAAAAATAAAAGTTACCTGGAGTGGGAAGTAATCCGGGCTGGAGGCTCGCCCAGCACTTAAAAGTATGAAATCGCAACTTGCAACAGCACCCACAGAGAGTGCCAAGATCTGGGTTGCAATCGCGCCTCCTTTTCTTGGCTGCCTCGGCGTGTCTTCCCAGGTTTCCGCTTCGGGAGCTGGCCAGGCTATCTGGGGAAAAAGTGCGTGGCTGTAAATGCGGACTTCACCACCCAGCCTGCTCCCCTCTCTGAGTCAGGCCGTTTCCTGTTTCAACAGAGGGAAGGGAAATTAAGTTGGAGGAGGTGTTTGGTCCAGGTTGCGGCGGGCAGGTGAACGCACCTACGACTCGCTTGAGGCGCCACCGACAGGAGGAAGAGGCCGGAGCACTTTGGAGCAGTCCATAGAAAGTGGAAAGAGCCCAGGAGGCACCTGCCCCCCAGGAAGAAACGCCTCCTTCTCCTAGCAGTAGGCGAGGAACACGTTCACGCAAACACAACACACACGCGCTAGCCACCAAGCCCTCTTTCAACAGGATGGTCAGAAGGGGGGGGGGAGCGAGCGACCTTGGAGGTGGAGCGTGTCCGTCCCTTTACTTCGAGCTGTTCGGCGTAGCAGGGACAACAAGGTGTGCGCTGTGTTGATATCCGAGTTGTGCGGCTCATCTTTCCAAAACTACAGAGAGACGTTTGATTCACCGCTTGGAACGGGGGTTCAGGGGAGAACTGATCATGAATTGAGGATGAGCAATGTATTGAAGTAATTTACCCGCTTTTTATGAAATAACTCCAAAAGCGATAAAACGCTATGCTGAAGGAAATACTCAATTACTTAAATCAGATAAGCGAGTATTTACATTTAATTAAAGCCCCTGAAACAAATAGGTGTTTCACTTTAACGCAGACTGCTCCTTTACCCCCAAAGGAGGCGCTTTCCGCATGAAGCACTGGCCAAGCGGCGGCGCAAACAAGGCTCCGTTCCGCCCTTCTCTCGCTCTCCACCTTCATAAGTGATTGGCAAGTGGAACAGGAAATGCCGGTTCACAGCCTGGGTACAATCGGTGCGGGCGAGGTGCAACAGGCAGCGCTTCTCCGGGATCCTTTGTCTGCTTCTGAACGAGTTACTATTACGGGCTGCCTGAAATTCACTTAGACCAAGGCCTGGGAAAGGAATTGCGTTGTAGGCTTGTTCTTGTTCTTTTATTATGGGTTAATGGATACTCGCTTCCAAGACCAGTTCAAAATGTACGTTTATAACATTTGGTTTTATTTATTTATACTGCTTCTAGGCTGCCTATCAGGGCTTACAAAGCAGCACCTTCTATTGCCGAATTTTAAAGCAAGTTGGGGCTGTGAGAACTTTTTTTTCCCCCCTTGCAAGGAACCCAAGCAGCACAACACTCTTGAAGTGAAAAAGCCTGTGTAGTGTAGCGGTTTGTGTGTTGGCTCCCAGTGGCTACTAGCCTTGCTGGCTATGTGCTACCCCCTTCACCAGAGGTGACATTCCTGCATGCACCAGTTGCTGAGGTGCTTGAGCAGGCAGAGGCTTGCATCCAACCTGCTTGAGGGATCCTCCTGGATTTGCTGCCATGGTTTGGTTTGCTGCCAAATGTACAGAGTGCTGGGCTAGAGCAGACCTGGGCATTGTACGGCCCGTGGGCCACATTCGGTCCGATGGCTGACCCTGACTGGCCCGCATGAGGTCACTGGCAAATTAAAAGTCAATGCAAATATATATCGTCGTTCAAGCCCAAAACAGACTAGATTTCTCTCACTGAACAACAACAACAAAAAAGAACTGAGGTAATGCAAACAAACAAAGCTGGATGCAGTTATAGGGAATCCAAAAGCAACTTGGATTGTTGAGTTTTCTGTTTCTCTGTTCTGTTATAATTTGTAAGGTCTGTACCTTACTATGTTAAGCACTGGGAGATTACATATGTTGTAAATTTGTGTTATTGAAGTAAAATTGAATTTATTGCTTTTCATGTAATGTTAATGTTTTTGTGAATATTCATTAAATAGTGTTGTTCTGTCTCCACATTATCATTGTATCATTGTCATGTTTCATTTACTGTTTTTATAGAGATATATATTGAGCAGAGCTGTAAGTGTATTGGTCCGGCCCTTAACAACTGTCAAAGTTTCTCATGTGGCCCCATAGGAAAATTAATTGCCCACCCCTTGGCTAGAGGAACCATTGGTTTGATCTGGCATGGCTTTTCTTATGTTCTTGGATGGGAGCTATGGAGTTCCAGGTCCTAGACACCACTTCACCTTGAAGTTCACAGCATGACTTGGACCGGTCACTGACTCTCACTCTAACCTATTCACAGGTTTGAGTAGGTTAGTTGTGTGGATGAAAGGGACCAGAAGAGGAGGATCCTGTAAGCCACCTGGGGTTCCTTGCAAGAGGAAAATGCAAGATATAAATGTAAAATCAATAAAACGAGCCAGCCAATTTGACCATGCACTTCTTCCCCTTCTCTCCTTCCTTCCTCTGTTCAAGTTTCTGGAGGTAGGACAAATACATCTATAAATTTTCTTTACCATATTTTCTCTGTAGTGGCAAGCACAAAGCAGCTGCAGTATTTCTCTGTCAGGGAATCGTGTGGCTCCAACAGAGCTGATCGTGTGCCTGGGGCATATGGCAATGATGTAACTCCCTATGGCATCCACCTGCTATTTGTGGCTTGCATAGCTTTGCCACACCTTTTGGTAGTCTAGCATGGGTGGCAGCAGCTGCATGCACTAATGTTCCTGCAACAGGAAAGTGGTCATCTGAGGAGAGAACCTACATCACCCACAGGGCAGGGTCAACAAGCTGGCACCTTCAGTGGAACCCAATAAGGGGGTCCCCATTGAGGCACCCGAGTACTTGTAAAACTTTTGTTTTTTAATACACATACATGGATTTATATATATTCGTAGCAGTGAATACATTTGAAATAGAAAGAACTTGGTACCAATTATGTGTAAGCTTTGACAAATATGGACCAAATATACACATAAGTATCCATTTGAAGGTGGTGTCAATATGCCACCTATTCAAATATTGAAAGTGTTGTAATGTCCTCAGTCCATTACATTATAAGAAGTGGGTTTTTTCCCGTTTTGTAATTTCGGTCTTCTAGTTGTCAAACGTGTGCAGAGAATGTTTCCTTCCATTTGTTAATTTCCACTAAGCAGGGAAATAATTTAAAAGAATGTGTACATCAGTTCATATTAAAGACTGTTTGAGTACAAAATTTATCTGTGTAATAACTTTCTCCGAAAAGGAACAACTACTGATCTACAATGTATGTTCAAAAGAGCTACATTGCATAGCCAGCAATTAATCAAATTCAACAATTTTATTAAGGAGCTCTTTGAGTATCAAAGTTTTTGATACTCAAAAGCACAAGTTTTTGCTCAGGTTGCAGGCTAAGTTCCACAGACACAACAGCTTCTACTGATCCACTGATCAGATATTTTGTAGAGGTGTCCACAGCATTCTCAAATTGAACTGGTAGCATTTGTGGAACCAGGTTTTGCTTCTCCTCCTTCCACCCTGGCAGTGGTAGCTTTGCCTTTGCTGTGAAGATCAACCTAGGCCTAGTTCTGGGCTTGTCTCACTTGTCTCTTGTATACCCACAAATGGGTTTGAATGCCGGGCCTAGACCAATTGCTGATCTTTCATGCTCCTGTCTGGTATCTTCTTAAAGGAACCAATTGTTCTTGAAAGGCTGCCTATAGCCCTGCTCATTTATTTAAAATTACTGCATGGAAAATGGGATCAGGACTACACCCACACCCAGTGCTGACCTGTTTAGTCTGTTGCTTCCTCAGGAAGCTGCAAGAACACATGTGGACACGAATAGACTCCTTATATGCAATCCATGATCTTGGTTTTTTAGGATATAGATCATGCATGTGTTTGTGCTGTGCTAAACTTTCACTCCACATATTCATATGGAAATGATTTTCACTACACATACTCATTTGACTTTGCCACAAACATATTCTGTGCTTTTGGCTAAATGGGTTAAACATCGTGCATTGTGAGCACTCTGTTTTAATAAGATTGCAATTTCCTTGGGAGAGACTTCCTCTTATTGTGCTTATCCAGTGCTTGACAATAATTTCTACCAAGAATATAATTCATGTATACAATGATCACGATGGATACAATGATCACCATCTTCTGGCTTAAGTTTTACTTGAACAAAGGAACACATATAAGACACTGATAATGCAACTCTACTCAGATAATCCTCTGTACATGCATCCTTCTGATCTCCTTGTTTAAACCACAGTAATGGTGAACATCTTACAGAACACACATTATCTAGAAATGGAAGTTAAAGAGTACCAGCTGAAATCAGTGAAGTGCAGGCAGACACACACCTATATATGATGTTTTATTCAAATGTCATTTTAACTGTTAATAGCATTTATTTATTTTATTCTTTGGCCAGGGTGACTTATTTTATATTGTTAACTTATTTTATATTGTTGATTTATATTATTTTAATTGATTTATGTTGTGAGCCGCCCAGAGGCTTCGGCGAATGGGGCTGCATAGAAATTTTCTAAATAAATAAATAAATAAATAAATAAATAAATAAATAAATAAATAAATAAAGTCTGAGATATATAGAAGAGGTGCAAATAGGACCTTCAACAAAATGTTTCCATGTGGAATGTTGCTCCTCTGGATTTCAGCCAAACACCCATGCCATCTTCCAGAATATCCATTCTAGTATGTTTTGTTTATTTCTTTTGTACAGGCAATAACCTGGTACCATGGAGAATTCTCATTCCTAATCAGGCTTTCTGGGTTTTTTGTACTTTTTCTAGATTTTTAAACATATTTCTACAAACCTTGAGATTCCCCAAAGCCTCCTCTACCCTCCTCTTGTCCATGGAGAGCTACAATTAGTGACCACACAAAGAATGTGTTTCTTGTTGGAACATAGGATGTGAAGAGACTATACATACTACTTAATGACACTACCATATTTATATGTCTCAAGAAATCAGACTAGGATTTGGGATCATGAACAATGCAGATAAGTATTTTTAGTTTTTGAAACTGATGCTCAACTAAAGTAGCTAGACTTTGTGGGGAGGCAGGGGAAGGGTTGCATTCCGCTTTTATTCCTGCTAGAGGATCAACAATTTTGAGAGGAACTGGGCAGACACAACAAGAACCAATAGTATTGAAAATAAACTTGAAATTTCTGTTGATATTCAGACTAAAGGCAGTTACTGCTGAGATCTGCCAATGCTGTTCCAAGCTATCCTAATCTGTTTCTGAAGCTGTAAGTATAGTTTTTTAAATCTTTGACAGATTGCAAAACTATTTGCACAACATCAAGACTGATGTTCTTAAGTAAAAATGTACTGTATCATTTATAGGACAAAGAAATAATAGCAAGTGTATCATCTCTGCTATTCATATCACATTATTACTAAATAGTATGCTTCACAATAACTTTGTGTTGGGCAAATAAACTTTACTCTGTTGTTGAACTTTGCTCTGTGCAAAGGGAAGTTTAAATATCAAACAAGTATGGACGTGTTTAGAACCTTAGCAAAGACTTTAAAAAAGATTGCAAGAGATGAAATGAACTGATGTAAACACAGAGTGAAAAAGATCCTGCTAAGGCAGATTGTATTATATTTTGTTTCAGCAAGAGGATGCTTTACAAAATTACTGAGAAAGGGACTTTGTGTCAAATTCCTGCAACACTTTTGTAGGATGTTTAAATGATATATTTGTCCTGATTAACAAAACATTCATTGTTCAGGAACTTATTTAAAGCAAAACTGACTGGATCCAGACTTGCCGCTCCATAAATGGAAAGGTTTCCTCCATTTGAGGAAGAAGCTGGGATCTAGCAGAGGCTTCCTGTGGGTAGAAGGGAGCTGGATGACTCCCCTTGCAACTTCCAGCATAATTTCCCACACTGTTATGAAAGGTCACCCAACCATCTGGAAAAAAGTAGGAAGTGGCATGAAAGGTTGCAGTTGGGAGAAAAGAGCCACACTGCTCGCTTTGTCCTGTGCTTCTGCTCAGTCTAAGTCTGCATCCAATGCATGAGGATGTACACTTCCACTCTCACAGAAAGTGGTATCTGATTTTCACCTGTCTCCCATACCCACTGCATCATAGCCCAATTATTCCAGAGATTCCCTCAACTGCCAGGAGTACCCACTGTAGGATTTCATATTTACTCATTGTGGGATAGGCATTATTTCATGCCTTGCTAACAGCTGTTTAGTCTTGGAGGGAATTATAATTCAAGAATGATGAGACTGCAACAGCAAGTTAGATGTTCTGAGAAAAATGTTGCAGGTATTTTGAAAGACAGGATTGTTTTGCTTTCCTTGATACTTCTGTGGTTTGGAATACTTGTCATGGTGATGCTTTCAGAAGGACACCAAGGCTAAGAGTGTAACTGGGGAAAGCCAGATATTATCAAGGGCAGCCATCCCAAGGCCTTGTGGGTTACAGGGTAACTATCATTTCTTTCAGTTTCTAAATTGCAGTCATTCTTCAGTTATAGTAAGTTTCAGGGTAAGAACTTACTCTCTGTGTTAATGCAAAGTCACCACTTGATGCAACCCACTGATTAGGCAGTGGGCTGCATCCAGTGGTGACTTTGTATTATCAAAAGAACTTTTGATTACTCCAAACGATGCCTGTCCTACCCAAGGCACTGCAACTCCTTGAAAAACTGTTCCTGACAATGAATGCTTTGTCAGTTAAACAAGACAAATATGTATTTTAAGCATCCTAAAATTTAACTGTGCACTGAGATCAAGATCATACAGTGGTCTGTAGTGGACAAAGGTGCTTTGTCCTGTTGTCTGAACCCAGACTGCACACAGCAGGGTGGCTTATTCTGGGGCAAGAAGCTACCCTGATAGGTGTTGTTTGATGCGCAATGGAGTATCAGGTCGTCTAACACAGATGCATTGCAGGTTGAGGCAGTGACTAGTACGCCACTTGGCAACAGCCGCAAGCCCTCTTTTCTGCTTGTTACAACGTCACTTATGCCACTGCCAATGGCAGCCACTCCACCAGTGCCCAAGCAGCAATTTGGAGCAACTGTCACCATTCCAAAGTCCATTTGGGTTACCAAGTGCACTTCACTGGCTTTGACAATGTAAGAACATCAGGCAAGATTACAAATACTAGACAACCGTACATGCATATTCATGTACCTCCAAAAGACCAACAATATATACATACACATGGAACTGTAAAAATTTTGGGGGTCAAAAGAGATATGACCCCAATTGCTTATTTTCAGGCTTAAAAAATAAAATTAAAGAACAGCAGCAAACAAAAAGGGGTAGCAATTGGAGCACGGAAGTGGAGAACAACCTATGTTGAGCCCAGTTGTCCATCAAATGCACTGTGGGTTGTTCTGAGTATCCAATGTGCAGTGGCTTATTCACAGGGTGGTTAGTGTAACATGCAAACCCACCCAAAATATTGCACTAATCATCAGCTACTAATCCTGGCATTCTTTCAAGTGGTACATTCTTAATCTAGTAATCCCCAATTCTCCTTATTTCAAGAGTAACAGTAAGTTTTTCCAGTTCTATATGTAAAATAGGGGGTGCTATGTTTCAATCAGTGCCTGATTAAAAAGAAAGTATCCCTGTTAATCAAATTAAATTTAAGAGAATTATTGGAAAGTCCATGTGGAGGCCACTTAGATGTTATTGTATATGGTGTCATCCCACATGGTGGAGCATAATGTAATATACCAGGTCTCCTGTTTCAATACACTAATTCCATGGTATATTTCTACTGTTTTATCAGCCACTCTTATTTCACTGCAAAAGACCTCATATCCACTCCCACTGGCTAACAAGCCTAATGCAAGCATCACATCCTTACACATAGATTGCCACCTTGTAGAAATGGTTTCCTTCCAAATGACTTACTTAAAAATTGAACCTAGTAACAACTATCCAAGTTAAATCTCTAGTTAAAGTTCACCCTATTACAGAGCGACAGGGTGTGTGTGCATATGCTGCCGTTCAACAAAAGACAGTATGATACAATAGTGGTTTTCATTAGTAGTTCCCGCTGCCATCGTTAGCTCTGGTTAAGAGGTTAGAGGCAATAGCTGTCTCTGCAACATAAACACGAGGAATGTAAAGCTAAGCCAAAATATTATTTTCACATTTGTACACAATAAAATTAACTATATATACCAAAAATAATTGAAGAAATTTAACACATCCAAAAAATGTGAGGGGAGAGAGAGAAGATCATGAGTCAAACTCTGAAGCCCTTGAATTTCTTAAGATAAATATACATTATGAAGTATGTTCTCTTCCAGCACATGCTAAATTTGTTAAGTCCAGTTTGGTTCCTAATGCAGCTGAAAGTTCCTTTGCCAGTAGTTCATGAAGAGAGACGCCATCATGAGAATAAACCCATTTTTTCCCAGTCCAGTCGTAACGTTTTGGGCCACTGTGAAAGAACAAAAACATGATTGAGAGTAAGATCAAGCATCTACAAAATATGGCAAAACAAGGCAGGTTCCAAAACAATACTAGGTGTTATGTGAGTAGACCAGGTAGCGACAGCAAAAAGAAGAAGCAAGGATACCTGACAAGGTAACAATTATGGTTCAGGTTCATTACATTCTCCTAGTGCACACTTTCATATTTGCTGAATTAATGTGATCTTCCAAATCATGATTTGGCAGCTCACGAATGAGCACTGCATTCATGCAATTTCACATTCCCATCACATTCAGGGTTTGAGTAATATTTCCCTAGTCAAGCCATAATTTGAATGAGCTGTCTACCCTAGACTGTGCGCATGATCCGACTGTAATCTTTCATCCTGTTCTGGAGGGCTCATCCAAGCTATTGTTCGCTGGTTCAAATATAACAGCAAGCTATAACTTGATTAAACAAGAGGAATTAATTAAGCTCCAAATACAGAGGAAAAGGGGTATGCAAATACAATTTTTGTACATGAACACCTCAAGTTTGCCACACTCTTACTATCTTAGGGATTACAAGCGTGCACACTTGAACAAGCACTGGTTGGCTATTTAAGAGCACAATACTATGCATGTTTAGGTAGAAAAAGTCCCACAACTCCAGAATGGCCAGCTGGGGAAAGATGAGGGCTATAAGACTTCTTTGGTGTAAAAATGCACAGGACTGTTCCCTAAGGGCAAACTAGTCATGGTGGGGCAGCTGTCCATACGTATTTAGTTGATATGTCTGTCTTGTTTATAGGTAAACCAGGTATGTGGTAGATCTATTTTTATATAAAAACACCAGCAAAGAAAGTAAAATTAAAGTTGCTCCCTTGTGTTAACCTTGTTGTTGTTAGTTGCGAAGTTGCGTCGGACCCATTGCAACCCCATGGACAACATTCCTCCAGGCCTTCCTGTCCTCCACCATCCCCCGGAGTCCACTTAAGCTCACAGTGTTAACCTTATTGTGTTCCATTGCTTTAAGCAATTTTCTCCCAGTCCATTTTCAGCATGTCAAGGGAGAGACAAGACAGAGGTTCAGGCATGCCCATCAAGCTAAACAAACCACGGACCAAAGCTGATCCTGTTTGCAGCAGGAGCAATCAGGGTGTATGCAGAAGCATTCTGCTCATGAACAAAAAGCCATAGTTCATCCCCTGGAATTCCGGCTTTGCGACACTTGAATCCTCCCAGTAAGATACATTAAAGAGGCTGAGAAGTAGCTCCTATATACACACAATAACCATGTGATTAAGATTGTAGTAGAGGACCTGGAGATAAAAAATTAGATCAACTTATTCCAATGGACAACTTAAAAAAAATATGTAATGTGTTGCTCCTTTTCCAGTTATGAAAATCTGGCACATGAACGTCCCTTTCTTCTGAGCCCCTTTTGAGTACTTTTCAGAAAGTGTTACATGAGCAGGATGAATTTCAGGATAATGGCAGAAATAAAAATGCTACCTTCACCAATTTAATCAAATTACTACATATTTCATCAGCCAAAAGAAATACCTCGAACAAACCTATTTGGATTAATGATATGCTCTACCACACAAAGCAATATTATTGTTACTAGTATGACCATGAATTTTAACTCTATACTGCCCAATAGCCAAAACTCTCTGGACAGTTCACAAGAATTTATCAAAGAATAATAAAAACAGATTTGAAAAGAGTATAAAATTCCAATGTGCAGAATTTAAAGAAGCTAAAATATCTTTAAAAAATTCAATAAAACAGGCCTTATTAAACCAATTGACATATCTCATTATATTCCATATTCCTGATAGCAGAAGGCAATTTTACTCCTAAGAATGTTGCCACCAGTGAGGCATCAGTGAGGAGATCATTCTGTAATTGGAGGGGCCTCAATGAGAAGGCCTTTCGTCCTGTTGTCTCCCTCTGGGCCTTCCTGGGAGTTGGCAGTCAAGAGGTAAGCCTCAGATGCAGCTCATGGAGTTCGCATAGACTGAGGTTGGGAGATGACCTCCATCAGATATTCTGGTTCCAAACCATGTAGGGCTTTATAGGTTAAAACCAGCATCATGAACTGAGCTCAGATATATATAGGCAGCCAATATAAGCCTGCCAAAATGGGTGTTTGGACCTTCTGGTCCCTGTTATCAGACTGCCAAAAAACTCAAAGCCTGCAGTCACCACAAGCAGACCTGGATTCTCTCAAAAAGGGTGGGAAGGGCTGGCCTGACCATCTTGCCAGCCTTCCTTCTCACATGGATTAACCTCTCCAGAAGCCTCCTTACCATCTTGTCAGCTTTTATCTACCATAGCTAGGTAAACTGAGGCTCTACGGAGAGACGTTCCAGAGGCCACGTCCTGTGAAGAAAAGGCTAACTCCCCAGGGCTGGTCTGCCTGTCAATTATGAACAATTCCCACTTGGAGTGAATGCCCAGTATCTGCTGGCCAAAGTGCATAATGCCAAAAGGGACTGTTCCTTTGGGGGAGCTGCTTTGAGGGGGGTGCAAGAGCAAGGGTTTCCCCTCTAACACTGCTGCTGGTCTCTGTGTCCGGGGGGGGGGGGGGTTGTCCCTGTGGCCAAATATAATTTGTATCAATTTGGACATTTTTCAACTTACCTGGAGCTTCTAGCTGTTATAGCTATTTCAGAGATGAGGTAGTTAAGAAAGTGCAACATACCAAAATCATGGTCATAGTTTGTTTTTTGAACTACAGCCTTCCAACTAAGTTTATACATCGCTTGTAGAGGTACTGATAAGAATGGAGAGAATAAACTCACAACATGTGCACATTCTTCTCTGCTCATCTGATTGGTGGGATATATATGTGCAAAGAAATGCAATTACAACTTTTCTTCCACTATCAAAGTGAACATGAAAGTTCTTGTTGGCAGAAGAGCACCTAAGCCCATAAAAAATCCTCCACCTTGAGAGAAGCATCTGTGAACTAGGGACTCGTATGCATAAACTAGTTTGTTTGGCTATAGCAGTCAATAGAAACATGGATGTAAGCAGTTTCATTTCAACTGGAGAAGTCCCAATTATGCATTTTACCCACTGTTTCCATTAAGATGTCACAATATATGGATTGACTGAAAGCAAGATGTCTGAGATCAGGAGTAGAACATTAGCATAGTTCTAAAATTTCAGTGTTTCTGTTTAAATCTTAACATATATGGCACCACAGTCCTAGGAAGTGGTGAGAAAGTGTAATACAGCATTGGAGTACATTATTTTTCCTGGCAGGAGGTGGGAAGTATGCAGCCATTCTCCTGCACCAGTGCGCTCTCTGCTGGCCAGAAAGAACACTGCAGGATATCATCCCTGCTTCACCAGCCATGACAGAAGGTTATTGGCAGCTATACTCTGACACTTCAAAAAAAATGTTTTCATTAGTTTTTGATGAACTGGTCCTCAAGGTGGTCTGCCCAAATTAGCATCAATTCAGCAGAAGATCCTGAAAATTGGATATGCAATACTAAGGAATTATGAAAAGCACACTTATTTTTCACAAGCCTAAACCTACCCTAGACATATAGCATCACTTGGCTTAATTAGTGTCATCTCATGAGCATTCAAGAGTTGCAAATACAATTATCAAGCAATGCCCTCCACCCACACTATTTGGTTCATGGAATGGCATAAATTATGAAATTAAACTGGTATATGAAAGAGCATCAGTCACAAATCAAAAGTATAAGCACAATGTGTAACATATACCCAAAACAAACAAGAGTCAAACAAATAGTTTGGAGGGACACATGGGAAAAAGTCTTCAATCAATTTACCATCACATTAAAGTTATAATACTGCTATACTGTTAAGATTAAGCAGATGTCAGTCTGTCCATTGTCTGGATGGCAAACTGCTTTGAAATCCCAAACAGACCATCCTGAATTTCCCAAGGTATATTAAATAAGTAGGCATTTCTGTTCTACTTTGAATTTTCAGAACATTATAGCCTAAAGGTTACCTGGTTGGAGAAGAGAGCCATATTTGTTTGTTTGGTGTCTGTTTGTTGATCACATAGGTTCCCTTGTTTACACCCAATTTCACTGTTAATACTCCACTCTGGAGAATAAAGGGGAGAAACAAAGAGCAACATTTCTGGTTCATAACACAATTCCTCTAATTTACTTTATAGTAAGGAACTTGCAATATATTCACTTTTAAGCAGTCATTCTAATTGGATGGGTGGTAGATAAATAATTAGGATTTTTTATAATTAAAATCACAGAAAAGCAGAAATAAATTAGTATCATCTCCTATCCACACTGAATTCTGTATTATTTATGCTGCAAAATTTCTCAAAAATGAGGATGCATTATTGAAACCATGTTTTTTCTATTGAACCACCTGTAAGTAGCTTCTCAGTAAGCTAACTTCATGTGCACTATTTGCATATCGGCAATTTTATCCACAAGCAAAAATACTATATACAACTGGATTTCATAATGGAAGTATTTTTCACAAGGAAAAATACTCTAACTGATACCATATATAACTGGATTTCATAAAGGGCTTTCAAGAGTTCTACTTATTCACTATGTCTGATCTAGAACTGATAACTAAGCTGAGGACAGGGTAAACAACCTGCAATTTCCCACACAGAATTTATAACTTTTTCCCCATTTTCTGCAATATTATTTGGAAGAACAACAGTTGACACTTTCTTGGCTCATTTCCTTAATGAGCAACATTTTGGGATGGAAATTCAAAACAAATGGTTGTAAGCTAGTGCTATCTTAGAGGGTCTTTGGACCTTTTCTCTCCAGCCTATCCAATATCCTCCTTTTTCCTAGGCAAATTCTGAAGAGCGTGAACATGGCTCAACTGCAGTTTAAGAAGAATGTAAGTCTTAAACTGGGATTACAAGGAGAAGAGCAGCATGTGACAGTTACATTTAGTTTCTCTAGTTAACTGAGAAACTATCTTACCAGACTGCCTCACAGATATGTCCTCAATGCATGTGCACACCATGGTGCCGTTAGCAACAGATTATAGGACAGATGTCTGGGCCCCACAACTCTCCATAAGCAAGGCAAGTCCCCAAACAAAGCATCCAAGATCTTCACTTTCCCACTCATGCCAAAAATACTGGTTTAGGGCAGGCTGCTGTTGATCTTTCTGTTACCTGGAGACATGGCTTAAAAACAGGGAAAAATCCCAGCCCTGGTGCCAAACAACATTTATGCTGGGAGAATGCTTGGCAGCAGCCTGGACTGCTGGCTTTTCTGAAAGTGGATCTGTTCCCTTACTAACTCTTTTCAGAATGAACAAGAGGGGGAGGAAAATGGGCAGGTATTAGCACTGTTTTGTTCCTAGCTTTGCTATTACAACTCTAAGTAAGCCGCTTCAGCCAGGAGCAGAAGTGAGAGAGGGTGAGTGGGCCTCGACACTTGAAATATATGGAAGCAGCTTCCACAGATCTGGCTTTGGAGATGGAAAGACAGAGAGAATATTCACTTTCCATTCTATATAGTCAGGTATGCTTAAACACAGGTTCTCTTCAAGGGTACTGATGCGCTATAGATCTCTTCATCCCATTCAATTTTTTCAAGTACTGGCCATGGGCAATGTACCCCAACTTGGCTCTGCAGAACAACCATCCTGCCCCTTCCCACAAAACGGTACCACAATCTTTCTCAGAATTAACCACCCCAGGGGTCAGTTTACACATTCTGCCAAATGAAAATAGTAAAGCTTTTCTGGACTTTATCACTTAAGATAGCAAGTGGGGGAAACAGAACTAGTCAGGGTGATGGGTTCAAGATCAGCGTAGCCTTTTTTTGCACAATGTGCTTTTTTTAATGTCAGGAAGGCCCTCCCAGTACCATGGGAAGGATTCATACATGCAAGTCAGAGAGGCAGAACACCGTATCTCTGAAACAAGGAAGCTGAGATGACAAGTGATTATCTTTCAATATTAAAGGAGCCACTGATGTTAGTCTTGCACAATGCTACATGATCAGTCTCATTTCTCTCATTGCTATACTTGAAGTGAACTGTTAAGACTACTGACTTGATTGTTTTATCCTCTTTCTGGTTTAACTGTCCTGATTTTATTGTAGTTTAATAGACTTACTGTGAGCTGCTCTGGGATCTCTTTGCAGTTTTGAAGCTTTGGGAGCTTTTTAAAATTTTTAAAAGGGCATTAATTTTGCACTTCTCATTATATCTCTGGAACAATGGTCTTTGGTCTACTAATATTAAACACACCAAGCTCCTAGGAATAGTAACAGAACATTCACACACTGATTCCGAACCAACTTGGAAATCACAATATGTATTAAATATACATGCCCAATCTAAAAATACTAAATTCTACAACTATAAAAGCATAAATACTATATAGTTCCTGGAATTTAATTTCTGACCAACGTGGCTGATTTTTTTTGCGGGGGGAATTAATTTCCAATTCACAAATCATGCACCATACTGCTATTCTGGCTGCATGAATATTCACAATCCCTAGTGATAAGACTAATTTTAAGTTATTTTATTTACAGCGCAAAAACCAAGGTTCATCCACAAAAACCCAAACAAAACAGGAAAGTTCAATCTGAACAGCTTAGTGTTTTCAGCTGTTTTCCAAGTGTGCCACCTTGTGGCTCTACTACTTAACTAAGACATTAGGTAGAACGAGGTTTCCCAAAAGAGATAAAGTGAATGCTTCTAAAATGGTAGCATGATTTTCAAACACAATGGCCACAGAAGAAGTTAGTAAACTACTTATAGCCAGAAGTGTTTTAAGGTACTCTGACCAAAGAGAAAGTTAGAAACTGCCCAAAATGCTATGATAAGAAACAGTAAAATAATACCCCAAAGGAGACGTCATAATCTTCAGGAGTAAAAGACTTGTCTGCCAGGTCCTCAAAGAAATCCGTTAATGATTCCAGTGTCTCTTCAGCAAGCTTTTCATATGTTGTTTCATCTAATGTGCTGTAAGAGTTATGTGAATAAAGATTCACTCAGATTTCATCTCCCTAAAAGAAGACTTGGGCTGCAATCCCATAAACATTTATCTGGGAATAAATACCTCTGAACGATGAATAGAAATGCACAAGACTGCACTCTATCACTAGCAAAACACTGGATGCAAGAAAGCTCAAAACAAAACAATAATTTGAGATACTTGTCACAAAGCAATTTAGGAAAGAAGGGGCTACAGAGAGAATTAAGAATTATCTCTATCTTAGAACATATCTGATACCCAACTAAGCAATGGTGTCTTTTAAAATGACTAAACAAGGCAAGAAAAAAAAAAGGAAAATGAAATAAGACAAATGTAAAAGCTGGAAAAAAATAATTTCCAACAGTTAAATTTCTGCTTTATACTCCAGTTTCTTTTCAGATCATATAAATCTTTTATCCTTTTATAAGGGAAATATTAACATTTCAGGCAGGCTTGCCATCCGAAGATACTTCTACAAGGACTGTTAACTGGAACTGACATGCCCATGCTCATCACGTATGGATCCCCTGCCCATCTGCATGGTTGCCATGGGGAACCACAGACTGCGCAGAGAAAGCAAAGTGGGGCTAAGGGGAAGAGCAATGTTAAAATATTTTAAACTCAGTGTAACATTACATTTTCAGGAACTATCTCCAGTTAGAGCAACAAATTAGGTATGTAGAGATGTGTTTCACAGCATTGACAGTGGATATGCCTATGGTAACTAATTTCATGTGTGTAAACCAACACTTTCTAAAGACTAAATTATTTTTAAATGGACACAATCCAAGATATAGCAAAGGGGCTGATTTGAGAATTCCTTTGATATTTTCACCATACCAATGGAAGCTTCCTTTCCAGTATGTTGTAAATGAAAGATGTACATTTGCGCTATCTGAACACCTGTTTAAGCCTTAAGGCCTTTTTATACATTAAAGGTGTGGCATGGTGGTCTTTAACAGTTCATCCCGCTGTGATCTGATAACATTAGAACAGGTGATAGTATGGCAAATAGGCCAACAGTGTGGTTCTCACACAAGCATTGCTTGGAATGGAACAATAAGGCAGTGACATCATGCGTATCTAAGTTGAAAGGCCTGTAATCTAAGTAACATAGGGAATGTCAAATATGCAAGCAGCCACTTGGAAATATTTCATACATCATCTTCACCTCTGAATGGCTGCATACATATTGAAGCAATTTTGTATGTTGCTATTTCTTTCTGTATGCTTTATAAATTAAAAAATGGGCTATAATGGCTGTTCTGGTAAATTACAGGAACTGACCTCTCTCCGTTCTACACAGAATTATTAAGCAAACCTTTGACCACTGCCTTTACAGTTAAAGACATAACTACTTAAAACAGAAAAAGCAGCTACAAAAGAAACCCATGTCTGGTCATATGTTAAAGTGTTGCATGGGATAACAAAGATACATGTGCTGTACATTAAAAAACTGTACTTTCTACTCTTAATATTTAATCATTTAGCAACTAAAGCCATAAACAATGGCACTCACTTTGGTTTCATTTTTCTTCAAATGTTCAAACTGGAATGTTAGCCATCAGTTTCTGTTCTGTGTATTGACTTAAGTGTGGAAAATTTCCAGAATTAGCAGGTGGCCAACTTACCTCTTGTTCATAAGAGTTCCTGAGTTTCTTACACATATAAATGGCACACTCTTGGTTCTCACCATCAGAGCATGTTCTAAAGAATGCAAATGAGAATCCTGTGAAAAAAATGAATTTCGAGTACTTCAGTGGAAAAGTAGCATCTATGAGCCAAAGACTAGGAGCAGGTGTCATCAAGGCCCTGCACCACTTTCTGGGTTGTGACCTTGTCCTGAGGGAACAAATAAAGTCCTTTGATCCTCACCACCACCACTAAATAACTGAGTAGTATTCCTTAAAAAAAAAGGATGTACTGTTCAATAATTAAAATTAAGTCACTGCATGCAAACTCATTCCATCTTTGATGTGTGTAGCATTCAGTTTGATGAGAGCTATCTATTTATTAAAACTGCTTTCCAAATTTGTATTGCGCTCTATTAAAAATATGAATATGTTTGCTTGGTAGCATCTACTTGCCTTCTATACATTTATGTGACCTGTATAATAACTGAGGTGAAAAGATACCTCACTAACCAATATTTTTAATATTTCATGTCTAGAATTACCCTATAAATCTTACTGAAAAAAATCCTATTTTGGGGGGATAGAGGTGAAGGCTACATAGCCCAGTCCTTCAACAGGACCAACTAATAATCTGTTTGACACCAAACAGACCTCTCATTTTATGTCAACAGTTATCTCCCCACCGCCCCCGCCATCTTTTTCTTCCTATTTCCCCTTCATGAATATCTATGCCTGGATATTAAACTTCTTCCTGTCTACTTTTTCTGCATCATACATGACTTTATACCAACACATTTTATTATTTTTTAATATTTATACATTTCTAAGGTCAAGAGGGTGTGGGAATCTTCCTTTCTATTCACCATCCGGGAGTTTCCAAAACACTGGGGAGGACAGAATTTTCCAAGCTTGCTCTCACGTTATTAGCCCAATCTAGGTTCTGCCACAAAATTGTTAATTGTTGTTAATTGCTGTTTTGTTTATTGTTTTGGTTCTTGTAAGCCATCCTTAAGGTCAAGAGGGTGTGGGAATCTTCCTTTCTATCCACCATCCAGGAGTTTCCAAAACATTGAGGATGACAGAATTTTCCAGGCTTGCTCTTGCATTATTAGCCTCATCTAGGTTCTGCCACAAAATTGTTAACTGTTGTTAATTGCTGTTTTGTTTCTTGTTTTGGTTCTTGTAAACCATCCTGGGATGATTTGTGTATAGAACGGGATATAAATATTTAAATAAAAAAAAAATCCTGTCTCTATGCAGTCTAATTGAAATGAATGTCACTTGTATTCTTGGGATTGACTGTCCTGTGAGTTAGCAGGAACCTCCTGTTTACCCGATCCTACACCAATAAAGCATGGTTATGGTCATGCTCCAACTATAGCAGTATTTTTATTGAGACATTCCTAAATTTCTTGTTTATTCATCAAAATCCTCCATTTGTACTTATATAAATTGGGATGCTGCTTTACATTTCTAGTTGTCAAGAAACAAAGACTCAGAGCTTTATATGTGTCTTCATGCTTTCATTACACAGATTACTCCAGTGGCATATTTACTGAGAAGTAAATTGCATCCAGTTCAATGGGTCTTCCTCCTTTATGGTACCGCACACGTTTTGCATGCATAAAGTCCAGCTTCTATCCCTGCCATCTGCAGATAGGGCTGCAAAAATTCCTGCCCAGCAGTGGCTGCCTATTGATAATACTGGCCAGATGGGCCAATAGATCTGACTCGGTATGACAGTCATTTATAATCCTCCTACGTATGCATGCTTAAGAATGTAAGCAAATATACATGCAAATTTTCTCAGCTTACATTATTAATGCAGAAAGATCATCTGTTTTATTTTAGCAAAGAATTATGACTGAGTACTGACAATGTCCCAATTGTTACTACAGCGCAGCCTTTCCTAACCCAGACGTATGCTAGGAATGCTGAGACTTGTAGTCCACCACAAGGTTGCAGCCCACCGCGGAGGAACGAAGTTGGGGGGCGTCGGCATCCATCTTATCAACAGGATTGTACTGCACCAACACAGGAGAAGCCTTAACTTTTGGTAGGGGATCGTCTCTAAAGAATCACTGCAAGTATGCCGAAGAGCTGCTTGCTCTCTCAGGATTGTGGCCGAGGAAGCCGTTTTCCTCTTCCTGTTCTCCCGCAGCCTCATAAACCTGCGCCTCAACAGAAAGCTGCAAGAAAACCTCCCCTTTCTACAGCCGGAAGAATCCGTGGCCAAAACGAGGCGCTAGCTCCGCCAAGGAAAGCGCGGGAAATCATTTCGAATGCTCCTCGGAAAGTACCGAAGTCGGGACCCCGGGAGGCTCCTCGCCAACTGCATACGTTTCGCTCTTCCCGTCTGCCTCCGAACTGGGCTTCCCTCCCACCCCAAGATGGGGGTTATAGCGACGAGCCCTCGTAGCTTCCAGCCCTCTTTGCTTTCCTGTACAAACCCAAAGTTCGCTTACCGCCTGGCCAGGAGGGAGGGAGGAAACTGCGGCGGCTCTCCAGAGGGTCGCCGCGGCGGCCTGGTTCCACCACCGTGGCCCTTCGCTCATGTGGCGGGCTTCGAGTCGCGAGGCGGCCCGGAGGAGGCTGGTGCTTCCCAGCCGCCACATATTGCAGTATCGCGGCCTGCAAAAGGCCCAGCCTAACCAGTGTTGCTGGCGCCCTCCTATGGTGCTACGGAGTTCATGCAGGAGAACGTTCCCCGGTACTTATTAATAGTACATTTCCAAAATGAAAAGTGCTCCCTGGACTGAAGGGTTGCGCTCTCCCGTTAAATGGGAACTAGCTGAGTGTCACCACTCCCCGCGGCCCTTTATGGACTCCTGTGCCTTTAGCAGTTAGGCACAGAAAGAAATAAAACAGAAGTTATCTTAGACATAAAGTTGAATTTATCGCAGGTAGCTCATCAAAACAAAAGAAGTTGGAGATATACTTTCAGCACACGTGCAAGAGATGCTGCTTGAGATAAACCAATGGCATGTAAAAAATACCATGTGCTTACAGACAGAATGATTGCATGGGCAGGGCATAGGGTTAAAGTGACAGAACAAAGACCATTGGTTCATTATCAATTTCAGTAAAAACAGGACACCATTTTCTAATCAGGCAATGTGGGGTGGGAGGGGGGATAAAGCATGTGTTCTTGAAACAAGTGGCAATATAACCAACATGAATTTGGGTTTGTTTCTTGAGGATGAACATAATCCTAGGCAATTCAGATAACCTAAGAGGGAACAGGATGAGTTCCTCTCTGCAGGTGGAGACAAGCTTTGCTAGTAGAGGCACATCTGCTACAGAAGCTCACAGTATGCCCATGGAAAGATCTGGATCTAAATCTGCATCAGAAGTAACTGGTAATATGCCCCAAAATGGAATGATCCAGGCACAAGATTGGTTTGTCTTGTTCCATTGTATCCCAAGTGTGTTTGATCACGAGAGCTATCCCATAATCTAGAGGACTGCTCTGCATCAAGCATTTGCAGGATGGAATGACAGAAAATTCTGGGAAAATGACAGCACTGATCCAGAAAAGTATTTTACTCAAGTTTTACATAACAGACTCCAATAAATTTATTTAGGGTGAAAGATATAAACTAAAAATGGAAAACTATATGCATAAATAAAAGGCTTCAGAATGTCATACTAGGTATTTTATGGACCTGTCCTAACAGAATGGGAAGTGTCCTTGGAGATCATTTAGTGACTAGATTTTCTTCAAACGCTTTGTTCAGTGCAGGGTCTGCCCTGCAGGGTGAAGCCGCATGGGACTGCATATTTCATTTTCCCCTTTTCCTGGGACTGCATATTTCATGTTTAATTGCATATTTCATCTCTGTAAGAAATAAAATTAGCCATAAGGGGGGAAAGCATAGTCAGCCAATATCTTTATTAAAACCTACTAAAATTACTCACTCTTTCCTCCAAAATTTTTCATCAGGCTAGGCCCTGATGGGGGAACCAAGTTCCACAATCTGACCCTGGCTATGAAGTCTGTAGTTACATAGTCCCTGTCTCAAAGTGGATATTTACAGTCTTAGTTTGCAGTCTATGGCTGCTAGATATTATCTAGGTAGACAGAGGATAATTCAGAGTCCTAGCTCCAATCTCAAAGCATTCCGGGGTCAGAGCCAAGGTTCCAAATTTGCAGCACCTTCCTCTGCCCTTACAGCCAGCACAGTTCTTTCTACTGCCTGGTCACAAGACTGATCTTGGAGTCAAGGGGGGGGGAGGGGGTTAGAGGTTGTTCCAATGGGACAAGGAGTGGAAAAATTGGCACTACTGTTCTACGAGTAATCCCAGAGATGACTTTGGCTCCTCTCATGAACTGGAATACTCAGCTAGCTCCTGTTTTAACCTAGCAGTGAAGCAACGCCTATTCTCCACCAGCCCTTCCACCACCACCATTAAAGGCTGTTTTTCATGTCTTGCCTACTATCTAGAGCAGGACCTTTTCACACAATCTGGTGAAATTGACCTGGTTCACACAATCAAGAACATTCAACTCCTGACTGGAGGTTGGCGTTGCTTGCTGTGGTGTGTAACCCTAGCTGAAGGGGGTTATCAGAATCCTTGCATGATCCTATGAACACCCTAAAACAATCCTGAAACAGTCCACATCCTGAAGCCATTTTCACACCCAAGGCTTTTGCTTAAAACTATTCTTCAATGAGAAGCTAAGATCTAAATTTGCTCTAATGTTATTTCATTCAGTCCTACATTACCATCATCTGCAATGAATTCTATTATTATTTCACAAATCACGAAATGTGTAGGCTACATTTCTATACCTATTTACCTGGGAGTAAACTCCATTGAACTTAGTAGGATCTACATCTGAGTAGATGTGTTGGACTGCACTGTTAAAAGCAATTTTTTAATGGCATGGAAAAAATGCCCTTAAAGGGCTTAGCAGCTCTTTTCTGACTGGTGTGAAAAATTAATTACCTCCAGATCTTTTTTCCCAATGTTTTCCAGGTGTCTCACACTAAGCAATCTGCAAAATCATTAGGCCTTGCATACAGTATTTGCAGCCTTTGCTTGCTCAAAGGTTTGTCACTGGCTGTGCTACCTTCCAGCTGCAGCATCATGTGTGTAGGACTTAGTAGCTGGCACATAGTGCCATAATAACAAGCCATATTTGGAAATTTACAGTATTTGTTCAAGAAAAATGCAACTCTTTACATTTCAGAACTATCCACAACACTTATTTTGAGAACAAAATACTTTATTTCTGTCAATAAAACTATAGTTTACAGTAGAATATACTAAATAAATTATGTAATTTTGTCCTTTACAAGCAATATATCTAATCACAAATATTTCAAAGACAATATATGTACACAACATAAGGCTTTGTTATAAATAGCTTTCTTCATTTCACTAATAAACAGTGAAAATTTCTTTATAGAAGATAGTTTCCATAAAGTATGTGCAGACATATTACACTAACCCTTGTATGAAATTAATAGGTGAGCAATTATAATTCTGGGAGAAAAGCAGAATTGATTTACATAATAATCACCACTGTGATGATGGCTTTTTAAATAGGCAAAAGCTGATTAGATATTTTGTTTGTGCATAATCACTGAATACATGCAAATGAAAAAATCACGTGAGAGTCAATAGGAAAGTATCAGTTTCAAGTCCTGAAAAGATGATTGGCAATAGTAGAGAAAGCAGCTTAAAGTACGGTGTATGCAGTTCTTCACAGTTCAGCAGACAACAGCATGTCATAGTAAAGTGTGGAATGTTTCATGTCTCTCGTCTTCTGAGACTTGAGGTATTACTACCATGGTTCAAGACTCCTTTGACATTTTCCACAGGTTCTGTTGATTATGACTTTTTGTTTACCAGGCTCAGCAATTTTCCTCATATATCTGGAGTGTACAAAGTGCTTCTTGTCAAATATATTCATTCTTTAAATTCATATTTTTCTTGGCTGTTACTGTAAAAGAAGAAATTGATGAAAACATGTTACAAAAACAAAGAACACTTGATAACTATTCTGCTGGCATAGATGAAGTCAACAACTCTTTTCTTCTTTGGAATGCTGTTATTTTCACTAGCTCAATAACATGCAACCCATTTTTATACCCATCAAAACTCAAACTAAGATTATTTATGACCAGTGCTTTTTTTGTAAGAAAAAGGTGCCGGAACTCATGAAATTATTTACCTTTCGCATGTAGTCAATCACTGTACACACACCCACACACTTCAGTTGTGTAACAAAACATAACGGTTGCCACCCGCAGTAAGCACTCAGTGTGCGACCACACGACCAGTCACAAGCCAAGCAGCGCCACAAGTCAAGCAGCGCATCACAACCAGCGTGAACAAAGTACGCATGCATCGGACTCGACACACAAGCAGCCCGCATGCACCGTTTTAATGATTTTGCTGCCGACCTGCTAAGCTTGACAGGGCAATTCAAATCCCTGTGGACCAAACATCAAATTTTCAAAAGTTACTTTTAAAACTTGGAAAAACTGTTGAAAAATGGTGCTGGAACTCTGTTTCGGTGCATTCTATGACAAAGAAGCACTGTTTATGACTATATATATATATTCTTCTAAAACTCTACAATGAAATCAATACAGCTTCATATAACACAGTGAGGACCAGAATGAATGACAACAACCCATTTTGCATAAGCTTGTGACAATTAAAATCAGATCTCAGAAAGGCAGGTTGCTTGCCAGTAGCTGCTGTACGCTGAGCAGTCATAGTCCCTGCATTCACACATATGGACTTTGTGCCTATGTGGAACCTATTGCTGGGAAGCTTCTAGAGCTAAATGTTCAATTGGTCAAAGCCCCTCCCTGTGCTTCCTGTTGCCATCTGCTCAGTTCCTATGGAGACTGCCATGGATCTCTAGACCAAGGGGAGGAGAAAGGACCCCAACTCGGTGCGGCTCTGAGCATCCATAGACAGTACGAAGTTGTCTGAGGGAAAACCAAGTGGGGCTAGAGGGTGGTTTGTGTGAACGGACAGATGAAGAATGACAGTTACATGTAAGCACTCTGCTTTTCTTCTTCGTGGTCTTTGTGCATTACACATATGGGTGACTAGTTAGTTTACCCTGTAGTGGTTGGAGGGATGCTTTCACCACTAGAATGCCAAAAGCACATTTGCATGATATCCAGCCTCACAAACACCAAGGGCATGGGCCATGTGGCTGCTCTGTAGACATCCTGCAGGGGGATTCTGGCAAGGAGGACTGTGGATGTGGCCAGAGCCCAATGGACCTTTGGTCATGTTGTGAGGTGAAGACCTTGTCATCTCATATGTCAGGCTGATGATGTTGGAGACCCATTTTGATACTCTAAGGAAATTGGCTCTCCTTTCTTTTGGCTGTCATAGCACACAAACAGTTTTGGTGAATGGCACAGCTACCTGGTTCTGAACGTACAGAAAGTGAGATCCTTACTGATGTTGAGCAGGTGCAGGATAGAGTCCACTGGGGTGAATGGGTTGGTGAGGAAGGCAGAGAGGATGATATCATGGTTGAGGTGGAAGGGCAAGGTGACCTTGGTTCTGAAGGCTGGTCTGGGCAGAGGACTGCCTTGTCCCTGTGGAAGGTGAGGTATGGATTTTCTACCAAGAGGGTATAGATGTTCGTTGGTGTGGCAGGCTGATGTGATAGCTACTAGGAAGCCCGCCTTCCAGGACAAGAGGAGCAGGTCAGTTGTAGGCAGGGGTTTGAAAGGCTTTCTGGAGAGGGCCTGTAGCATGACCAAAAGGCTCCATGCTGGGATGCAAGGCAGGGTGGAGGGAACAATGTTGCAGAGACCCCTCAGGAATCTGTGCACCAGTGTATATGCAAAGAGAGATGCCTCCTCTATAGCTGGATGGAAGGAGGAGATAGCTGGTAGGTGCAAATGTAGCGAGAAGGGGCTGAGTCCATCTCAGAAACTGGTTTGCAGAAATTGTAGGATTTGTTCAATGGAGGACCTTTGTGGGATGAAGTCTTCTGGTGTGTGAAGGCTCAGGATTTCCTTGGGGACAGTTTGAGAGTTGTGTCTAGTATGGCTGACAACACAGGTGGGAGAACCATACCACCCTGTTCTAGGGCATGACTGTCCAGGCTGTGAGATTCAGAGTCCTGACACCTGGGTGGAGAACTTGACCCCAGTCCTGTGAGATCAGGTCTGGGAGTGCAAGAGGTAGGTGAAATTCCCCCAGAAAAGCTGAAGAGGTCAAGCGAACCATGGTTTCCTCAGCTACCATAGGGTGATGAGAACACAGTCTGTCTCATCCTTCCAGATCCTGGCAATAACCTTGGTGATCAGTGGAAATGGTGGGAAGTGTGAAATAGGGTCCCATTCCATTTGAGGAGGAAGGCATCCATCAGGGAGCTGCTTCCCTGCTCTGCCCTGGAGCAGAACTGGGGGCATACTGGGTTGTGTGCCATGGTGAAGAGGTCCACTGATCCCTCCTACCATGCAGGACCATCTTCTTCAATTGCTCTCATGCGAGTCCAGACTTGTGCAACTGGGAACATCAGCCACGACATTGCCCTGGCCTGCTACATGGATCACCATGATTGTGATGCCCCTGGTGATGCACCAATCCCAGATAGCTATACTTCGTTTGGTGAGTGGAATGGACTGTGTGCCCCGCTGCTTGCTGATGTAGTAAATCATGGCCTTGTTGTCTGTAGTGGTCTGCACATGCTGGCCTTGCGGGGAAGTTCAGAAAGAGATTCATGCCTTGTGAATGGCCAACATTTCTAGGAAGTTGAAGTGATGGCTGGCATCACTGTAGTCCCATGACGCTTGGGTTTGCAGACTGTTGCAGTGTATTCCCCAGCCTGTGTTGGAGGCATCCAAAATGATGTGGGTTGTAGGCTCTGGGAAAAGGAAGCTGATGCCTACTGTGAGAGTGTATGGGGTGGCCCACCAGGGCAGGCTACTTCAAACAGAGGGTGGAACATGGGGGGGGGGGTTGTTTGAGTGTCATCTTCTGTGTGGTAGTTGTGAATGAATCACAACTGTGGAGTGATTCCAGCCTGGCAAAGTGGACCACTGCCACTACGGTGGCCATGAGCCAAGGAATTTCTGATCTTGTCGGCTCTGGTATGGTCTCTTGTGCTAATGTTGGTCACCAGCATGCATAGTGCTGCTGCTCTGGATTCTGGCAAGAGAGCTTTTGCAGGCCCCTATGAACAGGATGGACTGGGACGGGAAGAGAACAGATGATCTTGTCATAGATGCAGTCTTTAGAATCAGATCATCTCCATGTTATGACAGGATATACCCCTGTTGGATGTTCCCAGCCTGTGACTTAAACAAATCACTCTCTCTTTGTGAGGTGTGGGTACAGGTAACCCTTGCTCAACACGGGCACCCTTCCAAGCCTCTCCTTCCTCAATGAAGTAGAGAGCTGGCCTGCAGAGAGCCCAGAGCAGATCTATTGAGACCTGTGGGCTGTGCATTAAGAGTACTCGGTGGTAGCTTTCTTGTTCAAAGAAAAAGGAAAAGAAGAAGTCCAAAAGGATGGCTGGAGGGAATCTGGAGGCACTCCTCCTCTGTAGCTGCTTTGAAGAGCAGCAGCAGCTACAGAAACCAGGAGGGTTTTTTCCACATGAAGGGGATCAGAGATATTTTTATACTGGTCAGCAGTGTATACACCTATTAAATAAATCAACCACATGAAAATGAAAGTGCATAACTGATTGCTAAACCACTCTTTGGAAGGTTTGCTTTACATGTATTTAGAGCTGTTGTATTTAAGTACAACATTTTCATCTTGCAAAAACCATCCAGTACAGCAACAAAAATTTTAGGAGCCTCAAACAATAGCTCATAGCAAATTGCACTAAGTAATAGGTTGCATCCCATGTTAGTTTAGTTTAAGTTCCACTCATTTCATTGAGTCTACTGTAGGTGGGACTAAACTGGATTCTACTCAAATTCTGTAAGTTCCAAGCATTTTACTGTACTTTGACTTCACATCAGTTTTGTTTTGCACTGCTGTAAGTTGCAGTATTTCAACTAAATTAGGTTGTAGACTGGGCTTTGATGCTCTTTACAGAGAATTTCTGATTAAAAATAAAGCACAGCTAATACAACAAAATCATGGTAATTTTAAAGTATCCTATAAAAGAACAAAGTGGCACTTTATTACTCAACCTGAAATTCACATTTCTGGGTAGAAACACGTTGTAAAAACTGACGAACAGATCTAGCCTTGTTAACAAGGAAATAAATATTGTGAAGCATTCTGAAAATCTTGCGTGCACTTTCCTCAAAGCAACATAACAACCACAAATTATACTCAAAATGCTGATAAGCATCCAATGTTCTTGGCACAAAGCATGGGGGACATTCGGTGTTCCATGATTAAATACTGCATGAGATATTTTGTGGTATGCGTGCACAGCATGTTATTTACCATTTATACATGAATAATAGCACTGTGGCACTGACCAGAGGATTTCATAAAGACCACGAAATGCAGCATTCTTCATGGTTAATAGTGAGCTTGATCATAAAGTCATAGACAGGGAAGGTGCTCAGTAGACTACATGTAAGAACCTAACCTGGGGTGTGGGGCTGCCCTTGAAGACGCTCCGGATACTTCAATTGGTGCAAAACAGAGCTGCCAGGTTGCTGACGGGGACTGGGCATTGTGCTCACATAACCCCAGTTCTCCGTCAGCTTCACTGGCTTCCCATTGAAGTCCGGGCCCAATTCAAGGTGTTGATTATCACCTATAAAGCCCTTAACGGCTTGGGACCTGGTTATCTAAAGGAGTGCTTGCGTCCATATATGCCCTCCCGCCCTGAGTTCGGCGACAGAAGCCCTTCTCCGGGAGCCCTCCGTGAAAGATATTAGGAGGGTAAGTACCCAGAGGAGGGCCTTCTCTGCGGTGGCGCCCCACCTATGGAATGCGCTCCCTAGAGAGGTCCGCCTGGCGCCGTCATTATTTGTTTTTCGGCGC